TGTGTGCTGTGGTGTTTCCTTTTCCCTCTTTCTCCAGATAATCACCCTCACTGGCTGGTTTATTGGTCAAGGTGTAACCATAGCATTGGACTGCCAGTACCTGGGTTTTGACCTAAACCCCTCCTTCCTGTTCAATGATCTGGTTTTAGTCATGCTGTGACATGCTGGTAATTGTTGTTTATAAGCTGGGTTTTTTTTTAAGTATTGTGCTAATAAATTATTTTAGTACTGGGATATGAGTCTCTGCGTGTTTATGCAACATAGCTGCGTGTGGAAATCCTGGGGATAACATCATACATCCTAAGGGGCAGGGCCTTCGGTGGCGTAGTCTGGTCTCCTACGTGACCTAGAGCCGTGAAGTTACACATGTCTTTCTAACAAGGTTGCTGCAGTGCATTTTCCATGTCAAATCCTCCGTGATAGACACCCAAGTATCTGAAGCTGGGGAGCCTTTCCACAGGTGCCCCGTCAATTGTGAAGTGGTTGAAGCCTCTCCTGTTTCCTCCTGAAATCCATGATCAACTCTTTTGTTAACTCATTCTGGAAGGCCATTTCATCATTATTGAAGATCCGGCCAACCACAGGTATTGTCAGTGAACCTGAAAATAGTGTTGGGGCTGAATGCAGCCTCACAGTTATGCGTGTATAGGGAGTAGTGCGGGGGGCTCAGCACAGGACCCTGGGGAGTCCATGTCTTGAGGGTAAGACTTGATGAAGTCTCAGACAATCTGGGGTCTGCCCATCAGTCCCAGGCCCTTAGGATTACTGGGGGTGGTGTGAGGCTCAGTGGGTTAGGACGCTGTGATCAGAAGGTTGTTGATTCAAATCCCAGAGTAGAATGATTTCACCACTGGGCCCTTGAGCAAGGCCCTTAAACCCCCAAGTGTTCTACAGCAGGTGTCAACACCACAGTGAATTCTGGACATTTTGATCAAAATGCAATTTTTCGTACAGATATGGTGTTTACAAACATGGTCAAAAACATTCCCAAATTTCTGCCGAAGACCCCCAAAATAAGTGTCAAAGATTCGCAATCCATGTTTTGCCAACCAGAGGGAGCAAAACGACCCGCTCACTGGCGCATCCCCCCCCCCACCACTTGTGTCTCCCTACCCCCACTTTGGTTGCCCCTGGCCTACATAGTGCTTTTTTCTCATTCAAAACATTTAAGCAAAGACATACCAACGATTTTGGGTCCTGCATCTAAAAAATAAATACATTGCCTTGGGAATTATTGTGCTAAGAGCTCTACCTTTTTGCTGCTCACTCGCTTAAGTGCCTTTTTGCTGCTCACTCGCTTAAGTGCCTTTTTGCTGCTCACTCGCTTAAGTGCCTTNCCTTTTTGCTGCTCACTCGCTTAAGTGCCTTTTTGCTGCTCACTCGCTTAAGTGCCTTTTTGCTGCTCACTCGCTTAAGTGCCTTGCCCATGCTGATTTCTGAGAAAGGGACATTTTTCTCTGTATCTGGCGCACTGATAAATGGATTACTGAAAATGTTCTCTAACATCTCAGATCTCTGATTGATGTCTTTCTCTAATTTATAGGATGCGCTAGTAGATCAGAAGCCAATGCAATGAGCATGGAACACTGCTACAATGCTTAACTCCTGGATCCTATTTGTGGACTTAAGCTTCATCTTTCGTACTATAATCCTTGAAAGGTTGAGAGAGAAGCTTGCTGATCTGACCCTGCCGTCTTCCATCTGCCTGTGGGTCACATAGGAAACAGTATGTGAGAATGGTGACGTTGATTTCGGATTCCCTGACCACCAGCATAGCTGCTCCTCAAGGCTCCTTTTTCTCTGTGGCTCAGGGGACCCAACTATAAAATTTACAGACGATACCACGTCGATCAGCCTCATCCCCATTATTGACCATATACAGGCAGGGAATCAAATGCCTGTCTCATTGGTGCAGTAAAAACAATCTGAACTTAAACTGCAAAAAGAATGATAAACATTTACACAGCACTTTAAAATCACAGTGCAATAACTGTTCCATAGCCTTACTCTTCAGTGCAATATTGTACATAATCTACTGTGTTGTATGGTATGCAGGGCCTCCTCTAGTGGCATGCAAATGTGTTAGTGTAATTAAGCAGTGGTGGTAAGCATCAATGTGGTGGTGGTATGGTGTGACACTTTCACCACTGCATTCCTACCACCACCTAGTTAACAAGTTTTACTGTCCATGACCCCCCCACAGCTCAAGGGCCACACAGGACATTTTCCCAGAGGGCCGATGGGCACGTGGTTCAGCAAAATATGTAGTGGGACCCCCCTACCCAGTAATATTTGTTCCTCTGCAAAGAAAATGTAAAATCTAGCTCCTTATATATTATTTGTCTCTTAGGTTAATGTTGTGTATAGTCTTAATATTTCTAACTTCTATGCATCCATTTTACACCAGCAAATTCCTTGGACATGTTGTTTTCCAGGTGAATTAAGTATGATTCTGACACAGAGTCTGTTTACTGTACAGTCTGAGTGATTCAAGGTAGAGCCAAGAACAACGGGACACATCACAAAGTACACAAGCACAGAAGGTATTCTAATGGAATGCTGTGCTCACTCTGTTTCAGAGAAGCACTTTACTCCAGATCCAGCTGTGGCAGTGTTTATACCCAAAAGCAGCCAGATGGGGACCCTGGCATTTGTTTACTGAATCTTTCCTGGTGATCCATGGTACTGTAGTACAGAAACTCTCCGGGTTACGATGGGGTTGCGTTCCGATAAACCTACCATAAGGCGAAAATGCATTTTAATACAGTATAACAAACATCATAGCCTGGCCTAGCCTTAAATTAATGCTTAAAACAACAGCAACAACAAATTTATTTTTGTATAGCGCATTATCACAACATTACATTGTCCCAAAGCGCTTTACAGCATCCCCACCCAAAGCTCCCAGTGAGTAAGCCATAGGCGACAGTGGCAAGGAAAATCTCCCTAGAAGGAAGAAACCTTGGGAGGGACCAGACTCAAAGGGGGAGCCCATCCTCCAGGGGCCGGCAGGGAGAGTCAAATACATTTAAATCTGAAACAAAAGGGGAGCAGGGAACACTTACATTAGGCTACAGTTGGGCAAAATCATTAACACAAAGCCTATTTTTTATCATATAACTTATTGAATAATGTACTAAAAATGACAAACAGAATGGAATTGGAATACCCATCATAAAGTTGAAATATAACACGGACCTGGGGATTGTCTGTTTAACGCAAGTGTGAATAAATGAGGGAATGGCGCAGTGGCATAGAGCCCTTAAAAGTGAAGCAAAAGAGCTCTCATTCTCATTTTCACTTGTCCTATTCAGGGTCACGGAGTCCAGAACCTATTTCAGAAACTACGGGAGCAAGGCAGGGAATAACTCAGGAAGGGGCGCCAACCCATCACAGTGGAAACTCATACGCCATTCACTCACCATTCACACCTACAGGAAATTGGGAAACTCCAACTCACCTTAACATGTTTTTTGTAGAGTGGGGGGAAACAAGAGAACCAAAGAAAAATCCCAGGATGATACATAATATGCAAACTACACACACATAGAACAAAGGTGCCCCCTATCAGCCTGTATACAATTTACAATTTATTTAATTATCAAATGAAGATTTGGATGGCCTCACTTCAGGTAGACTTAAATGCCTCTTATTTGAAATCGAAGACTGTCTTATCGATAGAGTTGGATGTGTTGGAAGTTCTGCTTTAGTGTCGCTGTTTCAGAAAATCACTCTTACTGCACGTTAACTGATGCTGCTTTTAGGAGTGACCCAAACAGCTTTTTGTTTGGATGTAAAATCGTGCAATGACAAAAAAGAATTCTGATATTATATGCCTTGCCATTGGTGTGTGGACATCTAGGTGGGTTTAAGCAGGGTTGCCAATTCTCACACACCTGGCATGACACTCACACTTTCAGACTCTCACGCCCACACAAATCTTATGGTAATTCTGTATTATTCTATTATAAAGCGTTGGGGTAGTTTGCAAACCCTACAGACTATTTACAAGGTAATAATCCTGTTACATACATATAAATGTGTGAGCATGAATATGCAGACAGGATTGAAAATCTCACTCCAGCCAGCTGCCCAAAGGTGGCAAGTTATTGGTTTGTAGGCGTGTTTCATTGCTAGCCCGATAGCACTGGCTCACAGACATATCAGGAGTGTTTGGCTCCTGGAAGAGCTGACAGTGAAAATGTCTTCTCTTCAAGTGTGGAGCAAAACTAGGATGACCGTATGTCCTCTTTTTCCTGGACTTGTGCTCTGTTTTCGCAACCTAAAAATTCCTGAAATGTCTGGGATTTTGCTTTGTTTCATGTTGATATTTGCTTTCTACATTCAGAATACACATTTGCATTTTTTCGACGCCTCTCTTTGCTTTCCTGCCTCCGGTGTTCTCATTTTTGCAAAACAAAATATGGCCACCCTAGTGTCAACTAGCAGTTTGAAATAGGATCTAACAGTTTACTGAAGAGATACCAGCTGACTTCATTTCCCACTGCTTGTTTTTGTTTGTATGTGGCTTCACGCTATCACAAAAAGTGGAATAAGTTACTTCCTTTTGGAATGGTTATATGAAAAGAACATATTTTATGTCAATACAAATGACATTTATTTTGTTCTGATCTTAATTTTTTTTTAGCTATAAACTGCTAGCTACAAACTGTTTCTTTACGGCTGTGGTCCTTGAGCTGCTGATTTCTGACCTACACCCACAGGCTGTTAATAATTGATGCCATTTCAGTCTAGTTTGCTTTCAAATTCCAAACATTCCTTTTCAGTTGTTGAGGCTTTCCGTGTAATTGTACATATTAATATAAATGGTCTGCAGCTGTATTAATTCAGTTCCTTTTATGGATATTTCGTTTATACCGTAAAGTAAAATTCCACCTTGATGACGCATAAAAACCACTGTAATGATTTATTATCGTCAGACTGAAACAGGTCCCTCCGTCTCCCCTTTAATGAACGTGGCGTATGCGCCTCTCCTTTAATTAACGTACGTTTCACCCGGAAGTGAAGCAGGGGAGGGGAGCTAACTGACTCAACCAGTGATTTATCTAGTGATAAAACCTGACTGGGCTTGACGACTGAGGGGGATGGGTGAAAGCGGATCGCATGGTCACTGAGGTGCAAGAGTTGTCTGTTTGTAAGACTGGTGAGTTTCAATGAAATTCAAGACGCGGGGTCCGCCTGAATGAAAGCAGACGTGTGGAGTGTGTAGCAACGATGAGCCGTCGGGTCGCGGTATTCATATGTTCAGCTTGTCGATTATCGGTATGCCCCCATCTTCTCCCACTGATAGCTTACTTAGACTGAGCTGTTGGGAAGTCCCTGTCCAGTGTGCGCTGGATGGCAGGACAAGGGTGGGAAGAGTGGATGCATTCAGCTATGCATATGCTTATCTGTCAGCCATATTTCTCTAGGGTGAGAGGTATATCGTACATTTTGACTTTAATATGATACTACCTTACACCATAAGGCCCGGACTAGAACATTCTTGCAGACTGCCTTAGAAATCGTAGATAATTTCAGTTATAATCGTATAACACAGTGGTTAAGATGGATGTGACTGCCAAAAGGATTGCGGACTTGCACGACATTGAGCGCGAACTTTGTCCGTGTAGTGCGGAAGAAAAGATTGATAACGCGTCGCATATCAGGCCTTGTTGATGATTAAAATAAGCAGTGTCCACTATATGTATCTTATTGCTTGTGTGAGTTTCAGAAACGCCTACACTCACGAGTGATTATTTAAAGATCATAAGTTTGAAAAACATATTATGACTTATTGCGGATGAGTGAACAAAAGCGAGCTAGTGCATGGGCTTTGTGTAAATAGGTGGCCCTTATAGCTGTCTGTCATAGCTGGCTCACCAGTTTCCAGTCTGTTGCCCATTAATTCGAGCTTACTTCCCAACACTCTCTGGCAGCGACTGGGTTGTGTATCTGATGTTTCCAGTGGGAAATTGGTCTGGATACTTGCAGCTGAGGGTCATGCCCAGCAAGGTGAAGGAGCTAGACTTGGGGAAAGAGGTCCGTTAAAATCTCGGCTGTATACTCTTTCCACTAGCTCCATTAACGTTAGCTGTACCTCTGTGATGCCTTGGACGAATGCGTGCCGATCACCCATATTTCCATAGAGGTCCCATCTTGGTGAGAATGACGATGGCACACGCAGGGGCTGTAGTTGCTGCGGTTACCGCTGTGATGGCAATTCTGCTGCACTCCTCCATACACAAGATCGAGGAGGGACACCTGGCTGTGTACTACAGGTGAGCGTGGTCCCTGTTTGTGCCTTTGCTCCCCGTCTGTGGCGTGATTCCCTGACCTCTCCGGCGTCTTCCTCTCAGAGGCGGGGCTCTGCTGACCACGCCCAATGGCCCCGGCTACCACATCATGCTGCCCTTCATCACCACGTACAGATCAGTGCAGGTCACGTGATTCTGGCGCTCGCTGAGGATCGGTCTGTGCCACACTTTGGTGTGAGATGGAGCCTGAATGTGTTTTTGTGTTTCAGACGACGTTACAAACGGATGAAATAAAGAATGTGCCCTGTGGAACCAGGTATCGGGTGTGTGTGTGTGTGTGTGTGTGTGTCTGTCTGTCTGTCTGTGCGATTGTGTGGGTTGTTATGACGGCCTGTGCTTGCTGGTCTAACCCCCTTCGCACCTCTCTCTGCAGCGGGGGCGTCATGATCTACTTTGACCGGATAGAAGTGGTCAATATGCTGGTTCCTTCTGCAGGTGAGCCCTTCTCTGTGCGTCTGTGAGCGCGTGTGCGTCTGTGAGCGCGTGTGCGTCTGTGAGCGCGTGTGCGTCTGTGAGCGCGTGTGAACAGCTTTTCACTCCTCTGACCTGCGAAGCCATGTCTGTTCAGTGGTGGACATCGTGAAGAACTACACTGCCGATTATGACAAGACGCTGATATTTAACAAGATCCACCATGAGCTGAACCAGTTCTGCAGCGTTCACACCCTCCAGGAGGTCTATATCGAGCTCTTCGGTGAGATTTGGTGCTCCTCCTTTGCTGAGATCTGTGTGTGTCTGTGTGTGTCAAGGAGACTGACCCAGATTCACACCTCACTCCAGATATCATCGACGAAAACCTGAAGATCGCCCTCCAGAAGGACCTGAACGTCATGGCTCCTGGCCTCACCATCCAGGTGAGCAGGTCAGCTGGTCACACCAACCCCAGGTGGAGTTGCTGCTTGGCCATGAGAGTGGAGCTGGTGGAAGGTTTGCGTTTAGCTGCTCCTCGATTGGAGGTGCCAGTTCTGTTTTAAACTGCTGTTTTTAAAACTACGTTTAATTGAAAATGCTTCCTCTGCTCCCATTCTAGGCTGTACGTGTCACAAAGCCCAAGATTCCAGAGGCGATCCGAAGGAATTTCGAGCTGATGTGAGTATGGTGTGTGTGTGTGTGTCTGTCTGTCTGTCTGTCTGTCTGTCTGTCTGTCTGTCTGTCTGTGTGTGTGTGTGTGTGTGTGTGTGTGTCTGTCTGTCATGTGACCCTGTGGACCTGTGTCTCCCATAGGGAGGCGGAGAAGACCCGGCTCCTCATCACTGCTCAGACGCAGAAAGTGGTTGAAAAGGAGGCAGAGACTGAGAGGAAGAAGGCTATCATCGGTATACTAGAGGCAGCCTTTCTCATGACATGTTTCCATGTGAAACTGCTGTGAAGAATAGTTCCTTATTTTGCTCTTACTTTCATTTTACTCTAGAGGCCCAGAAGATGGCCCAAGTTGCTGAGATTCATTTCCAGCAGAAGGTTATGGAGAAGGAGACAGAGAAGAAGATTTCAGAGATTGAAGGTCTGTCCTGGTGCTTTGAACATCATTGCCCGAGGTCACACGTGCCCTGGCATGGCTTGATGATGTCACAGTGTGCTTTTCTTTCATTTTTAAAATATCCTTCCCGTCCCAGATGCTGCTTTCCTGGCCAGGGAGAAAGCCAAAGCTGATGCAGAATACTACACAGCGGCCAAATTCGCTGAAGCCAACAGGGTAACCTTTATGGGAGCAGGAATAGTGATTTTTACGAATAGACATGGCGTCAGTTTCACTGATCCACCATTTGGGTTTAGAGGGCAGCATGGTAGGGTCGTTCTCATGCACACACACGCACGTCTAAGTCAATCCCCGATTGCCTTCTCTGTCCATCTAGCTCAAGCTGACCCCAGAGTACCTGGAGCTCATGAAGTATCAGGCCATCGCAGCTAACAGCAAGATCTACTTCGGCCAGGACATACCTAACATGTTTGTGGATAACAGTGATCGCCGGCATGGCACTCTACACAAGCCTGACCTCACTGAGCTCCTGGGGAGCATGGAAAAGGGGGAGCGGCCCGGGAGGACCCAGCGGGCCGCAGCCAATACGGAGCCTGCTGCCTGAGGGGCGGAGCCTGCAGGGGGTGGGGTGTTTTCCCTGTAAGCAGAGGGGGCGTGGCATGCTTTTGTTTTGTTTTTGGAGAGTGTGCGTGAGGGGTGTGTGTGTGTGTGTGTGTGTGTGTGTGTGTGTGTGTGTGTGTGTGTATGTGGGTTGGAGGGGGGCATGTAGCTATGCAGTCAGATCAATGCACAAGGACAACTGCCGTTAGATCGGTGAAATGGAAGATCATCAAACGCTACCTGATACACTCTGAATGGACGTGACGGCCAAATACCACTGGACCACCGATAAAGACTCTGCTGCGGACAGCCAGCTTTTTGGTGTCGTGTTTTATTTCTGCTGGATTTTATATGCAAATTCTGCCTTGGCCCTGCCAATTTTTTTTATTTTATTTTATAATTTTTTTTATTTTTATTTTTATGGCATACATGCAGTATCTCATTTTCCCACTTATTTCCGGCAGGGGAGACAGCTGTAACCTGTCATTAAATCAAACTGGAACGATCAGGCTTCATGCTAATTAGAGATGCTCATTATGTGTGTGAAAATGGGAGTGCGTGTTCATGGCGATGTTCTGAAGGTGTTGCGATTGCTGGCTGATGTGGGAGGTGTGGCTCCTGGTGTGGCTTGGGTCTGGTTGGTTGGATGCAGATCAGCTAATGCAGAGTTTGCTGATCTCCTGGCCGCTGGACGCTGGCGGTGTGCAGGATTGAAGCTCCCTGCATATTCAGCTTATAATGCATAAATCAAATGAGGCCGGGTAAATTCCCGCTAGTCCGGTTACCCAAGAACTACCTGTCAGTGTAAAGCCTGGCAGCAGGGCTGGTCTCTGAGATGGAGCTGAGTGGCTTTGAGTGGATTTCCGGAGGGCTGTCAGCCTGAGACAACTTCATTCACTCTGAATGGAGATTACTTGGTTGGGGATTGACTTGTTAAAAACTTAGAGGTGCTTCCTGGATAGAAAACAAAAATGAAGGACCTTGTAAGTTGAGGAGCCTCATCGTTTTCTAGGACCTCTATGGTACATCTCCATGCCTGACTGGGGAGGCAAAAATGGGTGAAAAACTGTTTGTGGATGCAAGTCACTGAAAGAACCGGATACAGTGTGTGTCTGCGGTGTCGTCACTTCAGAAAGGAAGTTTCCTTGGGCAAGAACTTATGACCATGTGTGAAGTATTTTCTTCTCATGACCTGCTGGCTGGTTACCGCACTTTTAGTCATCATGCCATTCTGCCAATTTGTGTAATAGCTCCCATAGGCTCAAGCAGCTTCCGCTATCATTACTGCAGCACAGCATGCATGGCAGTGTGGCTCTCACTAGGGGGAGCCCTTGTACTCCCATGCTGGTAGGAAGGGTTATTTTATTGCTCTGGATATTGGTGGTGACTGGTGCTTGACTAGCAGAGAGTGAAGCTGCAAAGTGTGAATCTATGCCCTGTACCTCCTAGTGTTTTCGTTGTTAGTGTGTTGGCTGAGGAGACATGCCCCAGATATCTTTTTGACTAGACTGGATTTTCATTTTCTTTCTGTTAAGGTGTTTACTGGGCTAAGAGGGCTCCAGAGTTGAAATACACAAATTAAAATTGCTAATCTTAGGTCTCTTTTAGTTGTAGATGTTGATTAAAAGCTAGTGCAGGTTTGAGTTTGTGGTGATGGAACGGAAGACAGCTGCAATGAAAGGGAGGTCAAATGTTACAAATGTTGACAACATTGTCCTCTTTTTGATGCTGGAAAACAGTCAGATTCTGTCCCTTAAGAGCTGTAATTTAGCGAGTGGTAGGGTGCTAACACACCAGACATCAGTTACAAAGGCTCTGTGGTCCCTAAGAGAGGGAATTGCACGTCTGAGTCGGTTTGATTGCTTTGGGGTCGTTTGTTGACACTAACAGCCTCGGCTGATCTTTCTGAAGATATGGTCAAAAAAAAGTCAAACTGGACCAAGAGACCCTACATGCTGTCTCCTTCCAACCGATCTCCTGATTCCTCTTGGGTCTCTGTAACATCCCAAATAGCTCAGCACACGTTCCGTGCTAAATGTTTTTTCTTTGGAAATCTCTCATTATTTGAATGTTGTGGTAATGACATCCTTTCCTGGCTTAGTATTGTGATCCATCAGGTGGAATTAAATTTTCATAAAATTGTACTACTTTGTGAATGTTACTTTTTGTACAATCTGCGTAATTTGATCAGGATCTCATTTTAAAACCTTTTTATGCAAAAAATAAAGACACAGTTTGCAAAATTTTCACAGAAAATAAACCTATTTTGATATCACTAATGTAAGATGCTTGGTTACTGATGCTTTGGATGTTCACGTTCTGCTTTCCGCTAACTATCACAGCGGCTTCAGCTTTGTAGTGCTCCTGAGCCTTCCTGACTGTTTATAGTGGGGGTCACTCTTGGTTCACACAAACTCCGCAAGGTCACTGGTAATGACAGCTGGCCAGAAGTATAGGCAGATGTTTTTGCTGCATCTCCTTAGGTCCCTTTGCTCTCGAAGTTGTAGAAAGCTCCCAGGGTCATTTTCTGTTGTCCATCCAAGCCAAGCTGTACGACTCCACCTCTCATTTCCATCACGAGTGTGACAGGCTGGGAATGCCTTGGCTCCTTGGTTCCAAGTCTGGTCACAGCCAGAGCCCACCTTCAACTGCCTTTTTCGGAGTCCTTTCCCATGAATATCCGACCAAAAGCATTTGTGGCATGGTCACCTTACAGAAGGAAGTTTGTAATACTAAAATTGTAGTATTTGGTCAATACTTTGAAAGTGAAATGAGATGAATTCATTCAGAAATGAGATTTTTGCAGCGTTTCATTGCTAGCTTGTACTATGTAATTTGCAAACTGAAATCCTATCAGCAGAGATAAGCCTGAGGAACTGGCTGGTTAGCTGCTTAGCTAAGCTAACCTCTGCCTTCATGTGGATTTAGTGTTTTCCTGTATATGCCTACGTAAGCTGTTTGGCTCATATGCCTTGACATAAGTTAGCACTGCTGCACATAATTATTTATAATGTTTGCACCCGGATTTCTTGTTGGCTCAATGAGACAGCGCTCGTGTTCTCTGACAGGCCAAAAAAGAATATACAGTGTGTCCTATTGATAATGAGCCATTTTACAGCTCCTGATGGCCATCTTGAAGTAAAATGGACTTGTTCTGAAATCCCTGGATATGTGATATACATCAGTATCCAATGTAGGGCTCTTGTTATGACTGTTATGTATGTGTAGAACACTATGAGAATGGATCATGCAGAACTTTGGTGTTGGAAACAGAGAAAACAGCCACAGACCTGGCTGATTTTGCTGATAGATGGTTGGTGTCCTGAAACACGATTCTGCATGCTAGTCTTTTTTTCAGTCTGAGTGTCTTGTTACGGGCCAGTAAGAAATGTTCACAAGTTGTAAAAGTGCAGTAATTTATTGGCTTGGGGTCGACCTTCGTCTGAGAGCTGCTGGTCATTGTTCCTGCTCCCATTCCTGCCTTTTACACATCACACCAGCTCGAATGTCCGATATTCCTCCAGTGCTCTGCAGAAGGCTGTCACTTTGTGGTCCCCTCGTACCTTGAAGTCCGTGGGTGTTTTTTGGAGATCGTGCTTGGCCATTCGCATGGGGGTGCATCACTATCTCGAGGGGGGAGTTCCGCCCAGAGGCCATTTCACTGGACTTTATTCTTACTTGTTTGTCTTGCCAGGCAAGTCAAAAATATGGAGGGGACAAAACATACTGCCAATCATGCTGTGCATTTTCACCTTATTGAGTCTCAAAGGCTGTACAAAGGTTAGCATGTCGTACCTCCTCAGGCTCACGGGCCTCCGCTCTCTCCTTTCTTCCTGGCTGTTTCTGTGCCCCTCCACATATCCTCTGGCTTTAGCTCTGCAGGAAGTCCTCCCTGCTTATTGTGCCCATGATTGTCCTTGTTATGGTTCCCCGTGTCAATCTCCATCAGGAGGTTGAGGTAAGGCCATCTGTTGTTGTCATGGATTGGTTGAGTAAACAGGTTGACCATTTTCCATTAATGGCAACTGTGGTCACCATTTCACTGCCTCTATCCGTTCTATTATCAGTGTGAGAAAGTCCCACCCTGTGCTGTAAATGTTACTTTTACGTCTGGAAGCTGCAGGGTGGAATGAGCTGTGGTCCTGGTCCCAGTCTTGAACTGGCTAAGCTAAGCTAGAGTGTGATTTTAGTAGCAGAGTGGCAATACATGTTAAATCATCCATGTGCTTATGAACTACAGTGTGCCACCAGACATATGAGGACCCAAGCAGAATAGCAATGGATTTAATCACTGCAGGGTGGAATTCAGAACAAAAGGCATTATGGAGTGTGCACTGATCCAGCTATATGGCAGCACCCTTTGACTCACTAGTCCTGGGAATGTTCCACAGTATGAGAATCTGAAGATCAGTTAATCCAGACTTCACAATGAAGGGTGTCACCCATTAGAAGGTGGGAAGCAAAGCCTTGGCTTTCTTATCATTCATTCACGAGGCATCACACAAACACACATGTTCTATCTGTGGGTCTAGCCCCACATTATGCAGGTTTGCTCAACCCAGGGTTGGTTATCTTGCTGAGATAGCACCCAGCAGCCATTCTCCATGGATATCACCTAAAAGTGACTGTCAGCTGAGTCTCTTTCTCAGGGAGCTTACAGTGGTCCAGAAACCCGGTGGAAGTATCTCCTTTCGGCCATCTTTTGATAAGAGCCAAAGCGCTGGCTCTGTTAAGCATATAGTTTGTCCAGCAATGTAAGAGAAACTCAATAGAAGCACAGGAAGTCATTTCTGGTTGTTCTCATCAATCACAGAAGGTAGTTCTGCGGCCCATTGGGAACTAGTAAATTTTTTTTATTATTATTTGAACATTGTGTAGGTACATTTTATGCTGTGACGTGTGACATTCATGTAAAAAAAATGCTATTTCCTGTTGTTTGTCTTAAGGCTTGAGTCCTGCTCTTGGGGGAGGGGTGATAACCCAAGCGTGTCTCCTCATAGCTTGCTCACATACTCGCCATTTTAGGCAGTGACATCCAGGTGGAGTCTCTTGGTATTTACAGACCTGCATTTCCTAAGAGCTGCTCTTACGGGCCTTCCAGAAACTTACACTACTACCGACTTCTTGGAACCTTGACTTCAATGAAGAAGGCAGAGTAATGGGTTTTTAGGTTTTTTTTGGAACTATCGTAATAGCAGTGAGGTAATAGTTGGTAGTTTTGACTGCTGAGGCCATTTAAAGCTTTAGCTTGAGGAAGTGGGTGATGTGGATGCTGTCTAAGGGCAGGTCCCTGTCTCACATAGAACTGGGCTGGAAATAGCAACAAGATGCATGCAAAGCAATGAGCTCATTGTTAATGTGTGGGTGGCTGATTGCAATGTGTCTCACTGTTTTAAAGTGGGCAGCAGCGACAAGATAGCCAAGCTTCATTGCTTCAGAAGCTAGTCACCTATCAATAAGTTTATTTTAGTGACTCCTCTTGCCGTGGAAACCCGCATTTTCTGTGTTCTCTCATAAGGAAAGTTCCTGAAAATATGTTTTCTTCCTTTGTATTGGTTGACCCCCCTCCCCCCAGACTGTAATTAGCACAAGCATTTAGCACTTACAACTGAATTCCCACAAATGCTGTTACGGAGAAACACCGACGGAACACAAGGAGCTTTATGAGAGACTGACTGCTATGTTTGTCCCTGTGCTGCGGCCCTCGTCGGTGTTTGGGGTGAGCTTCCTGTGGGTGGGCCGTCTGCTTATGTCCTTTTTCATGTCTGGGATTCCAGGATTCACAGCAGATCCTAAGACGTATGTGTCAGGGCGATTCTGGCCAGTTGGCTCTAACTGACTGGGGTAGTGCTGCGGGTTTCTTTGTCAAACATGAGGCCTGCGTGTTTAACCAATCACTGTTAGGGACCCCTGCTGTCTCCCTTATCGGCCTGTGTTTTATCTGACAGAGGTGACAGAAGGTGAGCTGCAAAGTGGCCGGGATTCGCGCCCAGACTGTGCTACCTCCATGCTGTGACCCCCAAGCTGGGTGAAGTTATTTCAGTATGAGTGAAGGAAGTGTGGGACATAGCAATGCTGTTTGCTAGGGGTTTTGAGCGTGCTTGTCTCCTGCGGGTTGACCTTCCCTCAGGTCACATGATGCGCTGAAATGCTAGTCGGCTTCTGCCCTCCTGCCTTAACAGTAACTGCAATAGGTCAGATACTGTGGTTATTTAGTAGTTACTAAGGGGTGCAAGTTAACTATTTTATTGATACCTGTAGGAGAACATTTCTTTTTGCCGACTTCATCCTGTTCTCCATGAGACACACACAGACACGAGCAGGCTTGGGGATCTCAGTGAAGGGCAGTCACCCATGGCAGCTGGGGGGGCCGAGGTTAAGGGCCTTTTTCTAGTGAGGCTGGGCTCAAACCATTGACTTTCTGATCACGGTCATAGCGACTTAGCTCACTGAACCACACACTTCCCCTTTTTGTGTAAAAAATATGGCTTTTACCTGTCGTAAGTTAAATCTCCACGAAATGTAAGTGATCTAATTAAACAGAAACAGAAAAAGAGTAGAATCGGCCCTCTTTAGTGCAGTGGTGACGCCTGTCAGGAAGCCGTCACATTTTTAGAGTAAAACCACCACGTCACCAGACAGCCAGGCCTGCCGCCTCTGGATCCTGTGGCCCTCAGAGGGCCCTGCCTGCTTCTGCAGGACGTCGCCTTCCGTGTGCAGCGCTGGCCTACCCACCCTCCAAGACATCCTGGAGGAAAACGCGAACGATGTTTTCTGAAAGGCGGAAGTTTGATTCACTACAGATGTAGGGGAAAGGGAGGCTAGGCGGACTTTACAGGCTGCAGAGGCAAACAGGAAGGGGTAGATTCAGCAGCAGCTGGCTGTTTGCTGTCAGACCCTCGTCAGGAAATGCACTGACAGGATCTGACCTTGGGCATTTTTGTGGGTTTGAGTGACCAGTCTGAGCGTGTGACTGTATTTTGCTAGTCAGCTGGTTTCCCAGTGGTTTCCAGTTCTTAATGGACTTCCTTATTTTTGTAGCCCAATTCCAGCTGGGTTGTGATCCTGACTGAGTCACCCATTCTACTTTCTTCGGCCCCTGCAAAGATCTTTCTCACAGAGGCTGTGGTGTTGTATATTTTGTTAGAGATTCCAGCGGTGAATGCTAGCCCTTTGATGTAAAGATGCACCCTACAAAGACAGTCTGCGTCGGGTTCAATAACAAATTATCTTGGATGCTTTGATGTTGATTTGACTCACCATGATTCAATGCAACTTCAACAAACTACCACTAAAGACCTGTGTGATTCGGACCACTTTTATATCTACTTGAGGCTCCCTCAGCGTTCAGGCTATGAGTCAAGTTGGATCGAGGCCCTCCCCAAGTCCCCTTTGTGTTCCAGAAGACGACGTTCCTCTCATTCTAGGCCAGGCTGAGTCAGCACAAACTGAAGACCGCTCCTGGAAAGATGAACCCACGGTGCACTGCTGGTACACAAAGGATCATGGGATTGGGTATAAGCAGCTGCCTAATGTAATGGCAACATCACTGGCTGATGTTGAGGGAAAATGCATTTGGTTCCTTGTTTTTGTACAGTTATGTATCACTGTGCTGTGCATGTTGCAGCTAATACAACTGTATGCCTGCATTAAAGCGTTTGCAAAGGGCTCTTAAAGTAGGCCTTCAATACTGTGGTACCCCTTGATGCTGGGGCAGCTTGGAGGCCAATCAGCATCAGAAGAAATGACTCTGCTGTTCAGGACTCATTTCGTTCTGAGTAATTTGACTAACAGATCCAACTTGTGTCCAGAAGATCGTGGCTGGAGATGCTGAGTCCAGCAGAACTCGGCACATGCTGACAGGCACAATGAGGTGAGACCAGCAGTGTAACTCTCTGTCAAGGGAGCAGTCATCAGCAAACAGTAGGAATTAGACCAAACTGAAAACAGACACATGAATGGGCAAAAAGCACACTGCCCAAGAGAGTTCTGGTCAGAGTGCTGAGTCTGTGAGCCAAAAAGCCTCTCTGGTCCAGTTTGACCTGCCTTGCTTTAAGTTTCATGGTTTCTTCCAACATCTGGAACAAGTTGATCCCTCAGTGGTGGGGGGGGCACTAGATGAGAAAATTTTCAAAGCTCTTCTCCAAGCTGTTTCATTGACACTTTTAAAACAGAGACATCATACGCTGAGACTGCCTGGGAAGCTTCAATCCCTTCCCCTACTGACGCTAGAATGTGGCTCTCTGAACATGTCCGTTCCGGGTTACCGTGAGAATGTGGCTCTCTGAACATGTCCGTTCCGGGTTACCGTGAGAATGGGGCTCTCTTAACATGTCCGTTCCGGGTTACCGTGTCCGGGGGAATGGGG